GTTTAGGGCCTCACTAAATTGCTGAGGCTGGCCTGGAACTTGCGATCCTCCTGACTCAGCCTCCTGAGTCACTGGGAACACAGGTATGTGTTACTGAGCCTGGCTCAATTACTTTTCAAGGTCTCTGTGGCGATTTTAACCTCAGTAATGTGTTATTTATAACTGCTGTAATAATTCTCCTCCCCTTTAATTCCACTCTTCACTTTGTACCTGAACATTGTCCCTGGCTCCAGTTTCTTTAGCCTCATCCCTCCCTGTGGACAGGGATTTATAAGGATCTCAGAAAAGGTTGAGAATTGAAGAGGGCAGTAGAGAGAAGACATATGCAGCCAGCCTAAAAAGCATGATCTGGAGCTGGATACACCCACTGCCAAGATTCTGAATCCAAAACTAGTCCCAGATCACCAGAAACACTACAAACTTCTCAACAAGACTAAGTTATCATAAGAGAAAACATATCTAAGAAAGCAGTGATCAACTACACCTGCTAACCCTGAAATGATATTTAACTTACACCTGCTAATTCTAATATCATGAGGGCAACAGCTACTTCTCAGACACACTGAAATTCACAGCAGTGAGGAGCACCTTGCTGTGCACACTATTAATATCACAAATAAGTAAACAACAATAGAATGATCCAAGAAAACGAAATAATTTAGTTCTTTATTTTTAAAAATAATTTTAAGCTATTGATGGACCTTTATTTTATTCATTTATCTATATGTGATGCTGAGAATTGAACCCAGTGCCTCATACATGCTAGGCAAGCGCTCTTTACTGCTGAGTCACAACCAACCTCAGCACTAATTCTTACATTTTTACTTTGCTTGCCTTAGTTATAAAAACTCTGGGGGCTAGGGTTGTGGCTCAGCGGTAGCCCACTCGCCTCACATATGCGGGTCCCAGGGTTTGATCCTCAGCACCATATAAAAAAAAATAAACCAAATAGAAGTATTATGTCCAACTACAACTAAAAAAAAAAAAGGAAAAAATATTTTAAAAAACTCTGGCACTGGGGGCAAGGTTTTACTTCCTTTCTTTCTGCTGTATCTGCTGGATAAGGTAAATATCTCAAAGAAAGGTATCACAGGTCTATCTGAGCCACTTTTGCTCTGGGACCTTTTGCCTGTCAGGCCTAGCCCTGCCTAGCAAATTATCCGTTTTTTTCTAGGCTAAATATTGCTTCAGAATGGAATTGACCAAATTATGCTGTGTTCATGTACCAATGTGTAACAATGAATCCTATTATTATGCACAATTATAATGCACCAATAAAAATATTGTTACTTGGGCTGGGGCTATAGTTCAGTGGCAGAGTGCTTGCCTAGCATGCATGAGGCTCTAGGTTCGATCCTCAGCACCACATAAAAATAAATAAAGGTATTCTATCCATCTACAACTATCAAAAAAATTTAAAAAATATATTATTATTGCCTAAAAATTCCTCTCTCTTCCCACTATTGGGTTAAGGTAGTTGGAGGTCTGCTGGATCCTTTCAGATGATGAGACAAGTTTGGGAAGTATGGGGTAGTGTTAAAAGCTGTTAACTGAGATGATCAACGCTGATGTCAGAGTCTATTAAGGTTTGTAGGTGAGGGAGCAGAGGTCTAAGGAGGTCCCATGTCCCCAGAAGCACCATGCCCAGCATACTGTGATTTGCCTCAAATAGGCATAGGGGCAGGGTGTGTCTGGAGAGGGGTTCAGAATTTGGAGTCCGATACACCTGGGTTGGAACGCAGCTCTGCTACTCGCTGGCTGTGGAGCCTAGCACACTCGTCCTCTATGACCCTCGGTTTCCTCAACAGTCCACAAGCCTAGCTACAAGGAGTCAACGCGCCGCTGGGCGCGCCTGCATCGGGGCGCACGGAGGCCCCGGGTCGGGTCGGGCCGACACCCCTCCACCGCCCGGCGCGCGCCCAACGCCTGGCTCTGGAACCCCGCGGCCGATGCCGTGTGTCCGCTCCTTCCTCGGCCTCCTGGGGGCCCTGGCGGCCGGC